CTGATCTCCCAGAAGAATGCATCACTAAAATATGTGATCTACGAGTTGAGAAAATTCTCTACATTCAAATATAAATTAAAAACAGATATATACGAAATAAGACAATAAAAAGTAGTTTTTATTTAATATAATATAATAATATACTAAGCAAATAATCCCATAAAATAAAAAGAAACTAAAGGAAATTATTATTTTAACTAATACTATCATTGTATGTAAACAATTTGAATATCATTCAGAAATGCAATAAATAAATTTGGGGCATTGGATTGCATAGTTTTCTCTGGTCTATATACAAAATCCACCGGAAGCCTTCATTCACTGTGTGCTATTTACATGCTACTTAAGTAAAGTTGTGCATGGAGATAATTCTCTTTAAGGTAGATCACATATTTTAGAAGAACTAATGCACGTAGATCACATACTGTAGTAACACTTCAAATCGTTTCATTTCTCTTTTCTTACACTTTTATATATACTGACGAAGGTTTAATAATGGATCGGCCAAAAGATTATGTTAGCAACCTAATGACCAGGAAGGAGATTAATTATCCGACCAAAATTTGTAAAGTTAATAGATCTCATCAAAGTTAAAGACAATGGAATCGTTCTTTTGTAATGAAATACACAGTTTAACTGAAGCGTAGCGTAGATTCAAAGAAAGCCAGAGAAACAATTTCTAGCTAAGAATAGCTCTGCTAAATGAATATGTAGAAAAGTATTTTTGTCAAAAAATCATGTTGGAAATTTTTCAAATCACCTTTAAGCATTATCTGATCAGAAATTAAAAAAAAGAAAAGAAAAGGAAATAAATAACTTAAAAGTATTACATTTTTTTAGTGTTCATTTGCTTTTTGAAATTTCTGTATGTAAAAAAATTGTGCTAACATCTTGGCAATTAAAGACCTGAAGATACCCAGATGGAAATTCACTAAACACGGGCACGTTATTTATATATTTAATACGGCCTTAGATTGCTCTGTTTTCACATTTTCCATTTATTTTTATATATTATAATATCGTAGTTTATTACGATTAATATAATATCATATACTATAATATCATATACTATAATATCATATACTATAATATCATATACTATAATATCTTATATAAAGAATTTCAATATTTTGTAATTTTTATTTTATATCATTAGAAGTTATTGTCATTTGAGTCACATTGTATACAGGCATTATCGATATTTTTAAAAAAAAATTCAACTTTTGCTTGGAGCAACTTTCTAATGCTTCACGCAATAATTTCCGTTTTTGTCAGAAGTTGCTGAAGATGTTAACATTGAATAAAATAAGCTTAAAACAACACGCAAAGTTTGGAGATTATCAGCGATGTTCGTGCTTGCTATACAAGCCAGTTGAGCGGTGAAGGATTTTTCAAAGGGCATATTAGAATTTTCTCCGAATGAAAAGGGGTTTCGGAATATCGGCTGCCAGAATACCGCGGAAAAGTTGCGTTTAATAAAGGCTGAACACCTGATAAAGCTAAAAAGCTCAACACGCATGCTCGTTGTGCGTATTTTTCCCAGTTTGCTGTATCAATTCGGTCTTTTGACCAACAGATGGCAATAAAGATGTGTTGTGGTACGATCCATCTAATTTACATAGTGGAGTACCGACCATATAAATATGGTTGGTACCGGGAAGACGGGGGAGGAAGAAGAGATCCAATCCAGAGACTCTGCCCGACTGACGACTAAGTCAACCCATTCTACAGGAAAGGTCTTCCCAAGAATATACCAAAACTATCTGTAAATATTGTGTACACTTTCTTGTTTCAATACATTTTGGTTAAGTACATTTTGTGTTGTATTATTATTATTCCATGCTTTATTCAAGTTTCAACAAGATGACACAGTATTGACAGCAGGCACAGAAAAGAAACTAAAAGAACATTTACGGAACGTTGTGAATGAAAACAAGAAGATATTGCAAGACAGAATGTATATTTGTTATCAAAAAGAATTACAAATTGGAGATAATAAAAGCAATCAAGTAAAACAATTTAAATGTTTGTGAAGTGTTTTAACAGAAGACAGAAAAAGTGACACCGAAATCCGAAGGCACACTGGAATAGGGAAAAATGCCTTCCAAATGCTAAGCAACGTATTAAGAAACAGGAAATTCCGTTAGAAGCAATGAAAAGAGTACTTAACTGCTATGTAATATCGTTTTTTTTTATAAGGCAGTGAATACGAGACGATCTAATCACAAATGAAAAAGAAACTTGTGGTCCTACAGAAGGATGCTGAGAATACCATGGACTGAACATGACGAATTTTTAGAGAAAATGGAAACAAAAAGGACAATTATACTTCATAAAGTGACAGCTGAAATTTCTAGGGCCCATAATGAGGAAAGTCGGCTTGGAAATTTGACACTGACAGGACAGATTGGTAGAACAGAGATTAGGAGATATAGTAAAAAGACAAACTTTACTAAGGACTACAAAATACAGGATGTTGTGGAGAGCCATAATCGGCCACATCCTGAAGGCAAACAGCACATATAAAAAGAAGACGTTAAAATGAGAATCTCCAGATATTGATACATTGTGTCATAATTAAAAATAAGTATTCCCCACCGCTTGGCATAATATTAAAAAAAATATCATGAGAGAGACACAGATTGAGGAATCGGAGATCCGTGTTCGAATTCCAGTCAAATCCATTACATTCACTTACGTGCTAATACCCTTGAGAAAGGTATGAATCCTCTTCTTCTCCCTCCCCCCAGCTATGGGTAAATAGCAGGACAGACTGGTTTTTGTAGCTTTGCATGGCAACTAGTCTACCGCAGAAAGAAATGGCAACCTACTGTGGGAAAAATCTGCCTCGTCAGTCATGTATCGAAAGATACATGATCGCCTAAGCGTGTATCATGCATGGCACATAACTGACTATGAAAGCGGTAAATTTGTTTCAACTGTCTTTAGGACAGGGAGATGACTTGTGTATTTGTCTACCTTAAAAATTAGCATTCAAAACGCTGGCTTTCAACTTGACTTTAACATTGGCCACTCGTGGCGGGAAATATGTAACTATCTCGGCCAACACGCAATCATTTAATAATCGCAAACGTAGATGATAAGGAGGTTCAATAATTTTGTAGTTCAGACGCGAAGTTCGAGCCAAGAGTTAATTGATTGAAGTAGAAGCAAAGATGAAGAGAAAAATTATAATGAACAAAAGAAGAAATAAGAAAAAACCGATCTGCATGCGGTTATGATAGAATTAATTTAAATCAAGCAAAGAAAGATAAAAAAAAAAAGAAAGATCGAATCTAGAGTCAATGTGCGTATTTCGTTTCGAATGAAAATTCGTCGTTAAAACAAAAAGCAGCGAAACCCGACCTATTCTAAACTTTGATAATTTGTTTCTACTTTTCCCGCTCGGTTGCAAATGTTTCAGCGCTGATAAACATTTTCAACCCGCCATATTAAACCAATTAACGTATCGGATCTTCAAGTATCCTAAATATATACATTTTTTCTATATACAACTATATTTCATCTTCCATTTCACTTTCTCACCGACGTGACGTGGCTTCCTTCTGTCTTTTCTATTTTCATGGCAATTGCGCTGACAAGCTTTTTTTGCTCGTGCCCCAACCACATGAATTTAAGAGTGCTACTAGATTGGCATCTAGGTCCCACCTTTTTACTGTTGAAGTAGCTAAATGCAACCGCCACTTCTACTCCAAAAGTTTCTATTCTCGCATTTTCCGCCCGTGGAACTCCCTTCCGTTTACTTGATTCCCTTATAAATACAATCTCCAAAAATTTAAATGCAATGTCAATCGTCATCTTCTGTCTTCTTGAATCCCGTTCATCTTTTGTCCTTTCCCCAATCCTCCTTATACTCAGTTTTTTTTTCTTTCACATTACCCCTTAACCCCTTAAGTACTAATGGCATTTCCCCGCTTGCTTGGGGGGAAATGAGTAAAAAAAAAAAATTCACGGTTTCACGTATCCGCGGTCAACCCAGAAATAAACAATTCATAAATTTTGTTTCATAATGGTCCCAGAATACAAGAATAGCGTTGCTGGCAATTCAATCCTCACTGAGTACCCTACTTTTGTGGCCTTTTGACGTGCTAATCACAGTAAATTTCTATGAAAATTTTTAAAAGTCACGTGAATTCAAATAAAGCAACCAACAATTGTAAAAACTGAAAAGTAATCAATAATACATGGCTTCCTTATTTGCAGTTCTGCGTTTTCAGTTATCCACGGTTAACCCCAAAAAATAAACAATTTAAAAGTTTTATTTAATAACAATCCCAAAGTACAAGAATATTAACGCTGGCAATTTGGAGATATCAAAGCGAAAAAAGGCAAAGATGAAAGGTTTAGCTTTAGTAATGTTTAAAGACAATTGTTTCTAAGATCTACGGTAAAAAGAGATATTTTGTTCTCCATATAACTATGGTTGCAATGTCTTATTATATAGACGAATATCAAATCTATAAAACGACTTCATTATCCACTTATTTGGTTTCACTTAATCGCGGCGAAATGCCAGGGATAAACAATTCTTAATTTCTGCTCCATAAATTACAAGAATATTGATGCTGGCAGTTTGGAATTGCCAAAGAGAAATTCTAAACTGTTATATTCGGTTAAAAATTGGCTTTAAATTTGATTTTCTGAATTTCTTTGAACGTTTGTAAATGTGTCAATAAGTCACTTATATTTATTTCTTACTACAAGAAAATCCTTCAAGTTAAAATCTTTAAAAACAATAAAAAGTAAAAATATAAATAAAAAAAAAAAAAATATAAATAAAAAAAATGTAAATATAAATAAAATAAAAATAAAAATAAAAAAATAAATGTAACGTGTTTAAACTTTTATTACATTTTAACATAGTCGCCAGGTGAATTAGATTTTTTTTCGTACAAAATTAATACTCAATAAATTCAGTTAAAATTTTAAGAATTTTCCGTTCTCATCCAAATGCTTATTATTTGTTTACGTTTACATCCCGTTGAAACACAGGTTATCGTACGATCACCGAAGTTAAGCAACATCGAGCCTGGTTAATACTTAGGTGGGTGTCTGCTTAGGAATACCATATTGTAAGCTTGGATGTGCGGGTGATGCAATGGATAACGGCTCAAAGTTGGAGTCGAGTTTCAATTCCAGCCGTGTTAATTATATTCACTTACGCGCAAATGCTCTGTGGAAGTGTATGTATGAATCCAACTCTTCTACCCCCGCTATGGATTAAATACTAGGACTTGTATCAGTAAATTATTATTATCTCCCACAAATCCTTACAATCCCCAAGTGATTTCTGGCTTTGAGTAACCTGCAAAGAGTTGATAAGTCAAATCAGTCAATAAAAAATGCTTATTAATGAAATTACAAAAAATCACACGAATAAAGGACTTTCAAAATTTAGGGAAAATAATCAAATTGGTTTAATTTAATACAGCATCTCGGAATATCACGAAGCTAGGGATAAACTCCAAAAAGGAATGCTATCCTCAAAGATTCTTCACAAGAAATACATTTACTAATATATATATATATATATATATATATATATATATATATATAATTAAACCTAAATATATAAGTAAGAAATTAATTACCCCATATAAAAATAATTACAAATTGCATTCATAAATTAGATTTAAAGATGTTACCGTAACTATTTTTTATAATATTAAAAAAGTACGATCGGTCGGGTAAACAAACTGTTATAATTTAAAATATTATTTTAATATGTTCTCTATAAATGTGTTAATAAATATAGTATTTAACTTATATTAAATCCCTAAACTATTTGTTTTAAAAAAATGAAATATTTAAATTGATAGCAAACATCAAATTAATTTATTCGGTTTTTTTTTTTAGACGTCTAAATTACTATCAAGCATTAAAATCTATTCTTTACATAAATTGCTAAAACCCAATTACAGCCTCTTTCTCTTTACTTCCCTCTCCCTCTTCTTTCTGTTTCCTTTTTCCTTTTTCTTTTCTACCGACTCCCCTCCCATTTCAATATATCACTTCTGTTAAGTTAACCGTCTAAATAGGTCAAGGTCTGGTCACTCCTCCTCCCCCAATACAAAGTATGCTTAGAGAGATATGAAATTAATCCTCCTTATACTCTACCATATCTCTTTAACTTCTCTTTTTACACTCTCTGTTAAATTACAAAACAATTGTCTTTAATCATCAATTTAAATTTCATCTTTTCTTTTTTTTCATTTCATTTTTGCCAGCGTTGCTATCTGACTTTGGGATCCGGCGTCCTTTAAAGGACTCTGGTGAAATAAATTTTAATTTCTTTTTAATCGTTTCATTTCATTTAAAAGTGGTATCTGTTTTTCTTTTAAATAAATATATAATATATATATATATATATATATATATATATATATATATATATATATATATATATATATATATGTGTGTGTGTGGTTATTTCACTGTTATCTGATTAAAATGCAGAGATCAAAACACATTGTGTTTGATGTGCCTAGATGAACAGATACATGAAGTTAACCAACAACTTAGCTTTCGTATGTTAAGATGAATGAAAAATTTTGATAGGGAAAATGCTTCATGTACGAAATTTAGACATCTTAAAACTATTGTTTACTACTATGCATAAACAAAAGAAATGATAAAAGAAAAACAAGTCAAAAATAATAATCATAAAAAAGTTTAATCTAAGAAATAGATAAATCAAGACTATGATATCTACTACTACAATGTGTAAAGCAACAAAATTAAGATAAGAATAAAAAATCATTAAAAATTAATACTATTCTACTTTCATTGAGATTTCAATTCATTTTGTATTTTAAAACTAAAAATATTTTACTAATAATGATAATATCCGATCTGCTTAAGGGCAGAATTAATTGTCCTTTTCTTCCCGCCATAAGTGTAACAGTGCTCAATTTCATATTTAAATGGTAGATATAAGCTTGCCATATAAAACTGCCGACATGAACGTTCGTTGTGGTGGATTTTTCTCTTCTTATTTCTGTGCACTTACAGAAATTCAAACAAACCAGATTTTTTAGGTTTGCTCTAAGAAAATTCTTTCCTGGCAACTTTCAAATATGAAGGCAAGATCAATAAATAAAACAATACACACGCACAAGCGTCCCAATACTAATACAACCCCCAAATACTTAAAATTATATCTATATACTGATATATTTAAATTTAATAGAACTTTACACTAGCATTTTTCCAAGGTATCTTCTGTTCTGTAGACATTTTCTTTTTATTGAATTTGTCAATCTTTCTCTCTAAATTGCGAATAATCCTTCGTAAAAATGGCAGTTGTTGATGTACAAAATTTCAAAAACTTTTCTTACAGAAAGAAATGGCAACCTGCAGCAGGAAAAAATCTGTCTCGTCAGTCATGTATCTAAAAATACATGATCGCCTAAACGTGTATCAAGCATGGCACTTTTGGGGCTTGGGCTTAAATTTTAACAAGATGTCTATGGAAGCGGAAAATGCTAATGTGAAGGTCTGATAAATTTAAATACTGTTATATTTAATTCTGATCTATTTAAATTTAAACACTGATATACATACACACATACATACTTATATACATACATACATACATACATACATACATACATATATGCATACACATATGTATGTGTGTACTCATTTTACTGTCTCTTTTCCCGCACTGTTATTGAGTTTCAAATTAACATTCACCGCAACTGATTGATATGTTGTACCCATCGAAGCCTGTTTGTTCAAATATCACAAATCAAATTAGTTGATGTTTAAGTTCATGCCTCAGTCGTTGTGTTAAGTTTCTAACAAGGAAAGTATAATGCATTTTATTTCTTGCTTTGTCGTTGCCGTTCTTAAATTGGCGATATAGCCTCAAGATATAAATAATCAAAGCTGTAGACTCTCTGCAATCAAGTACCTTCATTGCTTATGCATGGAAGGATTTTAGCCATCAGTTACATCTGATTCTGATATATATAAGAAACTTAAAGCAATCGAACTCTTAAGCTTTTAGCTATCGATACGTACTACCGTGTATAATGAAACAGTAATTGACACTGATAATAAATGGAACCACTATAACTCCTTATTTTGTTCTATACCGTGACGACAAATTATTTTGGGACTAGGCACTGTCGGGAATTCAGAAATGAGTGTTACATCAAAAGAAAAGTAAGAAAGCATAATATTCTTAGCCTTCGTCTTTCTTCCTTTTATTTAAGAATTTTTGTAATATTTTATTAATTTTCATTTTCATTTCCGATGAAGTTAGCATCGGAAATACAAAAAAAAATCCTCTGGCGAGATTTGAACTTGCAACGGTTCTTTTTTCTGATCTACACGACGTGTCTAAAGATTGCAAAATAACGACATGGAAAAAAAACAACAGAAATTCAAATATTAATAAATCAGAGATATTTCATCTAAGAAATTCAAAGGCTACAGAGTCTAATATTGCTAGTGCAAATAAAACAACTTCATGTCAGTGTAGTGGAAAGCGAGGAAGAAAAGATATAGCTATATCACTTATTTGTATGATGTCTATTGGCGAAGCCGTCGTGGCCTTATTGCTGAAGCACTATCATTGTAAGACAGACTCGCAAAGTTAAAGGAACTCAAATGTAAGCTTAATTAACGCCAGACGTATTCTTTATTTGTGATTCATGCTGCTTACGAAATAGTTATAAAATAACGGCTTGTAAACTGCCAGACAACGCTAGAGCAATATAATAAAAGAAATACTCTTGAAATTGAGTAAAAGCTGCTAAATGTTTTTATTAATAAATAAAATGACTCGATTTATTATTCATCACTGTATGTATTCATTTTCTTAAGCTCTAGACATTTTCATTACAACAATGTATTACTTTGACATTTAATTTAGCTTTATTTATTTAATACGATTATTATCACACAATGCCACATGTGAAACATGTGGCATAGTGCTTATTACATCTCATGCACATATACGTCTATTCCATGTATTTTACCATAAAGCTTTGCCTATTTATTTTTTTTTGAAATAAGAAATCATTTTTGGTGCTATTAGTTCTCTTATTTGCTTTATCGCTTAATAAATTTTATCTAGCAAACTTAAGCATAACAGAACAAATTTTCATGGCTCTTTCTTTAATTTCCTTGTCTCTTCAAAAACATGGGCGATTATTACACTCTACAAATTCCTATCCATTTAGGTTTTAGTAATGTTTTTTTTCCCTCCTTACTGCCCCTTCCAGTACCCGTTCTGTCGTCCATTTACGAAAGATCGTTAAATAGGTTAGTCACAGATTCCCTCTTCTCCTATTGTCTTCAGTATGCCAAATTCTCCAATACCCCCTTCCCAGAAGTGATTTCTGATCCTAATTACAAGTTTCCTTTTCGTTACCATTTTTCTTAAAACTTCCACGTTGTTCCGTTTATGGTATCATAAGCATCTTTCTGTATTACCTTGTGTCTCCTCTTCATCTGTTAAGAAATTGTCCAGCATTAAGTAAAATATAGAAGCAGTGATAATACATCGTAGTTCATCACTATGTTATTTGACTCATGTCTCATAGAACATTGATTATGTAAGGCTATGAGTAGGCCTAGCATAAAAACAAATACGATATGGGAGCCGCTAATAAAGAAGGAAAGACAAATGACAGAAAGTTTTCAACAGCAGCACTAGTGGTAACAAAAAGGAAAATATTCAATGAGGGAATCAGCAGCATTCAGCAGCAGGCAGGTTAGGTTTAAGGCTCTAAGTTCTCTATAGAGGATTATCCGACGGGACAACATACTAGTGGATTAAAGTGTTTGTTCGTAAATTTGTCGACGTATTAATTTGGAGATCAACTCCTGGATGGACAGCGTGCATTTAGATTCAGTGAAAACAGAGCGAGCACTAACTGAACAGTACTAAGAATGAGAACTAGATGAGAGGCCTGTAGACATTCTTCAGTGGAACGAAAACAGTTTACCTTTGTAGGTTAAATACAGGATTCAGTTCGAAATTCCTTGTAGGTTACCCGGATCTACATGCATCTGATGAAGGCCGAAGAACGAAATGTTAGTTCGCACGTAAATAGTG